TTTTGCACAAGCAGCAATTCAAATGTCACAAATAAATATCAAAGACGCGTTCCAATACTTTAAAAACAGTTCTTCACAAGTTTGAACTTAAATGCTTCTCAGACTCTACCTACAGGTACACAGTCTGTAAGTGTCACGGCTTCGCTATGTTAAAGAGTACACAACAAAGATGAAAGGTTAGCTATATTCTTTAATCCAACAAGGGTAAATCCAAACACAAAGTAGCACAGCAACATTCAAGACATGTAGATGTATGACCAGATAAACTTAAAGTGAACATACAGGAACTTAAGTACTCAGACCAAACAAGGATAATTAACTAGGCACACCTGAACAGAATAATACAATCAACACAACAAGGGAAACAGTGCAAAAGGAAAAGATAAATTAACAGAAACTGTGACAGTAAGAGTACAATCATAGTGCACTTCTGTTTTTATGCTGCACAGTACACATATTAAAAAACTGCCATTAAAAGCATGTTTCAAAAAATAAATTGCTGTGTAGGTAGCCTTCTTAAGACTCACATCCAGATCCCCCTGCATCAGTTAACTGTGTTGCATCCTACTAAAAGTAGACAAATTCTATTAGGCCATATTTACATTTTCAAGCTTCCATTTCAATTAGCCAGTGTCAAGTGTTACATCCAAGAAGTGGCCTCACTTGTCAAGTGTTACAACCAGAAGTGGTCCTTATCTATTTTATAATATATAGGGCATATTTGCCATGTCAAATGTGGGATAAGTTGACTTACACACTGATTAGCCAATGCTGACTGTGCCGTATATTTGCCAAAAGTGGCCCAAATTGTTATTAATTATTTGGGCAATATTTGTCATTTTATTTCTAATTTATTGAGATGCACCTGTATGTTTGAGGATAACTGGGCCACATTTGCGGCATCATATAAGTGCCACTTTAGGCACACAGCCACATTTGTCAATTCTCACTGAGCCATATCTTTGCCAAAACTGGCCCAGATATGGTTTAGGATAACTGGGCCACATTTGTGGCATCATATGTGGGCCACTTTAGGCTCACAGCCACATTAGCCAGTGCTTACCGTGCCATATCTTTGCCAAAACTGGCCCAGATATGGTTTAGGATAACTGGGCCACATTTGTGGCATCATATGTGGGCCACTTTAGGCTCACAGCCACATTAGCCAGTGTCTACTGTGCCATATCTTTGCCAAAACTGGTCCAGATACACTTTAGGATAACTGGGCCACAGTTGTGGCATCATATGCGGGCCACTTTAGACTCACAGCCACATTAGCCAGTGCTTACCGTGCCATATCTTTGCCAAAACTGGCCCAGATGCATTTGAGGATAACTGGGCCACATTTGTGACATCACATGCGGGCCACTTTAGACTCACAACCACATTAGCCAGTGCTCACTGTGCCATATCTTTCCCAAAACTGGCCCAGATATGGTTTTAATAACTGGGCCACATTTGTGGCATCATATGTGGGCCACTTTAGGCTCACAGCTACATTAGCCAATGCTCACTGTGCCATATCTTTGCCAAAACTGGCCCAGATACGTTTTAATGTACCTGGGCCACATTTGCTGAAACATATGTGTCACAGCCACATTAGCCAGTGCTTACCATGCCTTATCTTTGCCAAAACAGGCCCAAATATGTTTTAGGATAACTGGGCCACATTGGTATCTTTATATGTGGGCCACCTTAGGCTCACAGCCACATTAGCCAGTGCTTACTGTGCCATATCTTTGCCAAAACTGGCCCAGATACGATTTAGGATAACTGGGCCACATTTGTGGTATCATATAAGGGCCACTTTAGGCTCACAGCCACATTAGCCAGTGCTTACCATGCCATACTTTGCCAAAACTGGCCCAGATATGTTTTAATGTACCTGGGCCACATTTGCTGAAACATATGTGGACCACATTTGGTTTACACCCTGTTTAGCCTTTGTCGATAATGCCACATTCTTGCCAAAGGTGGCCCACATTTGGTTGGCACTATTTGGGCCATAATCACTGTTTACCACATGGGCCACTTTAGGGTCATATTCAGATTACACATTGCTGTCAACACCGCATCTTTACCTACAGAGGCCCACATGTGATTTGATACATTTGGGCCATTTCTCCTGTTTTACATATGGGCCACTTCAGGCTTACACCCATTTTGTCCGGGCCATAAGAAGGCCAGCAGTGCCATTTCATTGCCTTAAGTGGCCCACATCCGCATGCTATCTGGGTGGAATTTTTCAGTTTTTCCATCTGTCTGTACTTGCCTCTAGCATTTACTTTGTTTCTTTTTATCTTGCACCAACATCACAATGAATG